CGCCTTTTTCGATTTGATTGGCTATTTCAAAATGTTGACATTTAATTTGAATTTAAGTTAATTTGAATGTTTGACTCATTTACTATAATTCATTCTTTATATTTTTATGCAATGACCACCGAATGATGTGACCTTAGTAGGCGCTGTAGTGAGGATAGGTTTAGGATTTGGATTGGGTTTAGGAGTAGGTTGGATTAGCTCAATACAGCGTCTACTATGGTCACAGAATTCGGTGCAACACTCGGTGTAGTGCCGAAATTTGCACCCTGCCAGATTATGCACCCCCTAGTGTTGGTAGGTTTAGGGTTAGGTGTGGGGGAGGGGTTAGGATTAGGGGTGGGGTTGGGATTAGGCAATCTTTTAACTTTAAACATTTTTCTGTATTGCTTTATTGCATTTAAATGTTCAGTTATTTTTGTTGTAAGAAAAAAGTTATTAAACCTGTTATACTGTATTATGACAGCACTTTTTTAAACAAAATTTCAATATCGTGATAATACCGTATACCGTAATAAAAGCATTTGCAATTAATCGCAACATGAAAATTTCGTCACCGCGTGAAAATGGGCAAAGAAGCGGGAGCAGGTTACTGAAGCCACGCCCACCGAGCTCGACGGTGGTGACAGCAGCGGATAATTTAAACGGATGAGATATAAAAAAATTCACCCCCTCACAAGTTGTCATGAAGGGCAAAATTAGCTATATAGACCAAAATAATTTTTTGAACCAGGCTGTAAACGTTTGTTTTCTGCTGTAAAGTTGGGCATTTTAACATGAGGAGTCTATGGGACTGACTCCCTTTTGCAGCCAGCCTCTAGCGGCCAGTTGATGAATTACAGTTTAAATCACTTCCGTGTTGGCTTCACGAGAGAGAGAGGGAGGTTGCCGCTTGATAATCTGGCAAAGGTGCAGAATTCGGCACAACACCGGCCCACATTATACACGGCCCACGGGGAAAACTCCCGGTGATCCAGATGGCCAGTCCGCCCGATGGCTGGCAGTTGCAGTTTTTGGAGAGAGAATGAGTTACTGACTGTGTGTGTGTGTGTGTGTGTGTGAGAGAGAGAGAGAGTTTGTTTTTATTCTGCTATGTACAATGCTTTGGCAATATGTACTTAAGTATGTCATGCCAATAAAGCAATATGAATTGAACTGAGTGAGTGAGAGAGAGAGAGAGAGAGAGTGAGAGAGAGAGAGAGAGAGGAATTACCTGAGTTTGCGCGGCTCTCAATGTTCCTCCACTAGTAGCGAAGCTGTAAGTTTAACTACTTAAAAATAACGACTTTACCCCCTCGCTATTAAGAAATGTCACGTCGGTCCTCGGTAGTGTTATTGATAAAGTCACAGGACAGCGCTGACAACAACAAGTGCTCCGTCCGAGGATCGTATCTGTGCGCGTGTGCTTGCACGCGGGAGAGAAAAAGATAGAGCGTGCTTCAAAAGGTAATCAAAAAAGTTAAGTGTAATTTTATCTTATTGTTTCTCATATTTATTCAACGTCTTTGTGGTTTTGGTTCTTTAGCTGTGGTGGGCTGCAAGAGTATTTGAAATAACTGAAATAATTTGGCGCAGTGATATGGACCTGCAATGCGATCAAAACCTAGCCGGAACTACTTCAGTTGTGCAATTCTCCAATTAAAAAGAAAAAAGAAAAAGGAAGTGTTTTTATTTATATTCATGGAGTTTACCGAACCCCCTGGATTTAGAAAATTACAGGTAAAATCTGTAATTCCTGCACTAGTTTCAACGAAATTAAAATAATAATAACAATCAACGAATAATATTGGTTTAGAATTGGTTTTCAAAAAATGCTCTTAATCCCACCCCTTGGGACAACCTGGCTGTGTGGGACAGGGATGTTCAAACTAATTGTGTTACACTTTTTTGGTGAATCAACCTAGAAATCGTTCTTGTATTTATTTATTAACAGATAAAGGAGAAAATATTTAAACAGTGGGGGAAAAAAAGATGAGTGGGATTTGAGCTATCAACCAATCAAGCGTGAAACTCTAATGATGTTCACCTGCTACTCATCAGGAACTTTTAACAAGTTAATAAGATTTCTTGTGAGTAAACCCTCAGTAGCCTGTGGAGAATCAGAGAAGCCAGGTTTCTGCTGCAGTTGTTGTAGTCTGTAAAGTCTGAGAAATGTTTGCTTGTGGAGCAGCCAGTCTAGAGAACATCATGACACCCAAAGGGTTCTTCAGGCAAACTCTACCACTGACCCCTGGAAGAATCCCAAAATTTACTATTCCTCCCAAGTTATCCATGTCTCCTCAGCTGTGTCGTCAGAAAGAAAACGATGAGGACACACATATGCTGATATCTCCAGAAAGCCCAGAAGAACAGTCTCCTGGACATCGGCCTCCCACTGGCTCGCCAAGCGTGTCTGCCAAACTTCGTTTCACCCCTAAGATGAAGCTGAAACGCCTGCAGAAATCTGCCACAGAGGACCTCTCAGACCGTTCGACGTGTGCAGCCATGTCTCTGGAACACGTTGGAAAGGTCACCACACCTTATGGCTTCCGGACCTTGGCTGCCAGCCCCAGCGTCAGCCGGAGAGAGTCCTTATTCCATAAGCAGGGACGATGCACAGAAAGGAGAGTGCCGTTGGATTCTGTGGCTTCACCAACATCTTCAAATTCAACATCCAATTCCACAAGCAACAGAAACGGCTCTGCTAGAAAGCTGCAGGATGGCCAAAAAGACTGTTGCACCCCTCGGAAATCTAAGAGAGAAGGCCTGGAGCTGCTCCTGAACAAACCATTGACTGTCTTGAGGAGTCTTACTCCCAAAAGAAAGAACCCTAAACTAAAACTTAAGCTATAGAAAGAGTTGTAAGTGATATCAGCATTAGTACAGCCTTGTGCTTTTTGACAAGGAAAACACATTTTAAGTGTCAAAAATAAAAGTATTTTAATTCCAGTCTGTGCACACATTAAGTTTTTTTTTTTTTTTAACTTGCCAAGATGCACTCTCTTGCAGGGTTGCCAAGTCTGTGATTAACTTGCCATGGCCTGATTTAGTGATTTATACTTTCAAAATGCTGTTGCGTGTTTTTTTTTTTCTTAAAGATTTGACATTAATATTTGTATTTGACTGAAATGCTGCAGTATTTCATTCTACCACCCATAAAACTTTGCTAGATGTTTTTTTTTTGTGAGAGAAGCAACACAGTTTATCTCTTAGTTTCACAGACAAGGCTAAAGCCTAGTCTCAGACTAAAACGCATGTCTGGGCTGTTTTAACTGAAAAACTTGCACTGATATGTCTTAAAATGTCAGTGTTATTAATTTGTCTCAAGACACACACAGGTAATGTTTTTTTTCTAAAGTATGTTTATAAGAGATACTGGTTTTAATTGAACTGTGGCCTAATCCTGGCTTAACTTAAGCCCTGTCTATGAAACCAGGTTTATGATTACTGCAAGACTCAACAACAAAAAAAAAATCCTTCAACTCCTTTTAATTCCAGCAAATTTCGTTACATGTAATATTTGCATGAACAAAATTCAACAAATGTGAGCTGTTATTCCACTCTTCCAAGGCACTAGCAAGTTCCTGGACACGTCTGAGGAGGCACATAGTTACACATGGTTTGCCACTGCAAAGCCGATCGGCTGTCCTCCCTGTAGCACCGTCTTAGGCTCCTTATATTTCAGACATTGCTCTGGCCACATCTGCAGTCCTCATGCCTATCTGCAGCAGGACTATGGCATGTTAAAGAATCCTGCACATCCTTCTTCTGGTGTGGAGTCAGTAGAAAGGTCTCTTTACGGTCATAAGTTATTGTAACAGTTACCTTTATTGCCTACAACCTGTGAACAGTAACTGTCTTAAGGACTGTTCTGTCTTAGGCTCCTTATATTTCAGACATTGCTCTGGCCACATCTGCAGTCCTCATGCCTCTCTGCAGCAGGACTATGGCATGTTAAAGAATCCTGCACATCCTTCTTCTGGTGTGGAGTCAGTAGAAAGGTCTCTTTACGGTCATAAGTTATTGTAACAGTTACCTTTATTGCCTACAACCTGTGAACAGTAACTGTCTTAAGGACTGTTCCACAGGTGCATGTGCAATAATTGTTTATGGTTCACTGAACAAGCATAAAATCATTGTTTAAACTTTCCAATAAAGCATATTTGAATTTTTCAAAATTATCTTTAAAATACACTCATGAAAACAGGATTTTTTTTTTTGAGTTTATATAGTGATTTTCAAGTTGAATTTGTGTATGCTTAACAGCGACTGTAAAAATATGTATTTTAGGTATGGGAGTGGCATATTTTGAGTTTTGATATTTAGGATAGGGCCATTGGGCTTTTTTTCTTGCACAGACCTGGAAACCCTGCACTCATGTTAGTTGAAAAAAACTTCATGCTAAGCAAAGTTTTTATTCAATAAGAAACTAAAGAAATTGTTGAGGACAGCTAATACGATTGTTCTCATCCCAACAAGAATGTAAGACTCCAAACGTGCCATTCTGGCAAGAAAACCAAACTTTTTCCACCCTTTTTTTTATTAATATCATTGTCCTTTAACATAGTTACAATCTGTTTTTATGAAAATAAGTCAGTAGAAAGAATTCTTTAAAAAGTCCAACAAGTCAAGTCCTCCGTTTGTACGGTCCTGCTTTCATTTCAAACATGAGATAAAAACTCTCAGACCCTCTGTAAAGTCTCGGCTCCACTCTGACGAGCCACAGTGTCCAAACCGGGCAGAGCGTCAATCTTTATTTATGATGGGTACGGGGGAAAGGTCTGTTCAGCATGAAAAGATAAAAGGCTTGAACCTGAAGACGCCTATCTGCTTTCCACTATTCCAAAACGAACCTCCAAATGCAGTAAAATCTATAATCAGTTTAAGATCCCTGTACTTCATGTTACAGTCTGGGTTCACTACCGTTAGCGGTAATCGCTCTTTGAAGTACATTACCATGAATTTTTATGGGTGGGCCATTGGGGAACATTAAGTAACCCTCTCCTTTAAGGCAGTCTGTCTTGTTTGTATGTCTGTCAGTCTATGCCAGTCTGGATGTAGGTTCTCCAGGCTTAGCCGCCCCCACTGCGCCCGTCCTCACACTTAACCAAACTTTCAGGCTTGAAATAGCCAAGGAGTCCAGTGGTTAGAGATTGTAGAGGCTTGTCTCCCAGGCTCCACTGCATTTGAGTCCAGAGAAAGAGTTGTGCCCCTGCAGGAGGAGTGTGTTTGGGCAGGCTGCCCCTGAGTGACTGGAGCAGATGATTGGCAGGTAGTCTCCAGTGACGTCACAGTCGCAGAGGGGGCGTGGTTATGCTGGGTGTGGTTGGCGTGGAGACGAGGGTTTGTCCTCTCAGTCGCTGTCAGATCCTACTCCTTTCCGTTTTCTCTTGGGAGCTTTGGGTTTGGAATCCTCTTCCTCCTGGAGAAGCATCAACAAAGGGCATTTTAAACACAACATAATAATATGTGTGCTGGCCTGAAGGCTTTCGTTATGATGTCATATTGTGAGTGTGGATTTACCGAAGCGCTGCTGGACGCGCTCTCCTCATCATTGCAGGTTTGAGGAGCCGCACCCTTGCGGGATCGTGGAGAAGACGCTGGGGCTCTGCGTCGAGGTTTATGTTGTTTGGAGGAATCCTCATACTCCTCAGCTAATGAGAAAAGATCACTGAATCTGGCAGAAGAAAAGGAAAAAATGGACAGTTAGTCAAATAAGAACTTGAAAATAGAATAAAATAAGATAAAAAAAAACCACCTCATTTTGTGGGCCTCATCGCAGCTGGCCTGAACATGCTGTAGGGCCTGTAATATTGGCGTCTGGGAAAAGACTGATACACCAACAGGAACAATTCAGAAAGCATTGTTTAAATCAATATGAACAGTGAAAAAGACAACCAGGCTGCTAAGAATTTAGTGGTGTTTCAAGGACTGTAAGAGCTTGATATTGAACTCACAGTTGTTCTTGGTGTTGCTGAGATTGTGTCTCAAACTGTCCAGATGTTCCAGCATCTGTTCCAGGGTCAGCTGAGCCAGTTTACTGCTGGAGCTCCTCAAACTACACAAAAGCACAACACAAATGTGTGTCTCTTTAAAAATTTCAACAACAAAGTTTGAGGTTGGTAAGATTTTGTAATGTTTTTCAAAGAAGTCTCTTATGTTCACCAAGGCTGCATTAATTTGATTAAAAAAAAAATACAGTAAAAACTGTAATATTGTGAAATATTATAGCCATTTTAAATAACGGTTTTCAATTTTAACACATTTTAACATGCAATTTTTTTCCGTGATTTCAAAGCTGAATTTTCAGCATCATTACTCCAGTCTTCAGATATATTCTAAATTTAATCCGTGTTAAAGGGAAATTCAGCCAAAAATAGGATTTTTTTTTCATCATCTACTCACCCTCATGTCACACCCTACCTGCTTGTCCGGCAAGAACCAGTGAGGTTTGTTCTCGTGCGTCAAGTAAGTGCTATATATGAAATCTGATAATCTTCTTTACAAACTAAATAATTAATCTTTTGAACTTTCTGGGGCATCAAAGTTTTGGTATAATAGACTTTCTATGAAGAGACAGAAATCACCCAGGTTTCATTAAAAATATCTTCTTTTGTTTTTCAAAGGTGAATCAAAGTATTATGGGTTTGGAATGACACAAAGGTGAGTAAGTGACAATTTTCATTTTTAGGTGAACTTTCTATTTAAAAGTCTATATCTGAAACCTGCGCTGAATCAATGACAGCCACGATCATGTTGAGGAGCTCTCCACTACACAGGGTCTCATCTGGGAACTGTACAACACAGACACAGGAAAAAGTCAAGCAAGGCTGTGAAAGCCTCTGTTGAAGGCACATGGTGTTCGAGCATGACGTGTGTTACCTCTGAATAGATGGAGGGGGTTAGGTAACACAGGAGCCTCACATCATCCTCCTGACAGGCCTTCATGTCCATCATCAAGCAGGTGTGCAGGTCACCCAGAGCCGTGGCCTGAGCAAAGGACTCGTACAGGCTCATCTTCCCCGCTGCTGCTTTGCTACAAAGATGCACAAAACAGTCTACTATGAAACACTGACCCCCGGTTTCACAGACAAGGCTTAAGCTAGTCCCAGACTAAAATGCATGTTTGAGTTGTCTCAACTGAAAATATCTTGCTCTGACATATCTTAAAATATGTCAGTGTCATTGTTCTGTGTCAAGACGTACACCTGTAATGTTTTCTTCTAAGGCATTTTTGTAAAAGTTGCTTAAATATCTTAATTTAACTAAGGTCTAGTCCTGGTTTAAGCTAAGCCCCGTTTGTGAAACCGGGACTGAGAGTTCAGAGTAGGGCTGCAAAATTAATCGAAAGAAAAAAGGGCCTTGCATCATGTCTTAAAGCGTTTATCAAATTGCACAGGGCATGATTTAATTAAATATATGCTCTGTATTAGAGGTCTTCACGGGTCTACTTGGATCCAAAAACCTAAGGTCCGACCCAAGACCAGAGCAGGTTTGGATCCAAAACTTTGATGAGTGCCTCAGATACGGCTCTGGCTTGGTATTAGTGGACTTGGGTCTCGGGTAACTTAAAATAAATGTGCTTTTTCCAAATGGACCCAACTATCGGGATGCATATTTGTGCGTTCGTGTTAAGTGCATTTTTGAGAAACGCATGTAGAAAAGAAACAAACCAATTAATCAAAAGAAAAAAGGGCCTTGCATCATGTCTTAAAGCGTTTATCAAATTGCACAGGGCATGATTTAATTAAATATATGCTCTGTATTAGAGGTCTTCACGGGTCTACTTGGATCCAAAAACCTAAGGCCCGACCCAAGACCAGAGCAGGTTTGGGTCCAAAACTTTGATGAGTGCCTCAGATACGGTTCTGGCTTGGTATTAGTGGACTTGGGTCTCGGGTAACTTAAAATAAATGTGCTTTTTCCAAATGGACCCAACTATCGGGATGCATATTTGTGCGTTCGTGTTAAGTGCATTTTTGAGAAACGCATGTAGAAAAGAAACAAACGCTTGTAACCTCACACACAGAAATCCATCTTATAGATATGAGATCCATCAGAAAAATCCACTCACTTCATTAAGCTGCGTGTTCATACAGGGCTTTTCTTTTTTTGTGTGCAGAAGCCCTTCGCCGGAGACAGCGTTGCAGACAACACTAGAGAATCCATGATTTATTAGGCTATCGATTTAATTTTTTATCAAGCTATCACATTTATTTTCCGATCCACTGGTCACAACTGAAAGGCGAACTCAGAAATAACTTGTCTTCATCAGGCAGGCAATAATTGTAATTTATAAATTTCTAATTCTATTCTTTATAAAAAAAAAAATTTAATTAAAAAAAAAATAACACTTGCATTCTATCTATTTGTTTTCTTTTTATTTATTATACAATTATAATTCTGACTTTTTCTGACTAACAAAAGCAAAAAAGGCCTCTAACACTAGCTTGCTCTATTATTTTTCTATTCTATCTGTTTTCTTTTTATCTATTATATGATTTAAAAAAAAACTTGCTACGTGTACTGCATTAGGCTAACTGAGACTTGTTATAGCACTTGCATATCATTGCTCGCAGGGCTTTTCTTTTTTTGTGTGCAGAAGCCCTTCGCCGGAGACAGCGTTGCAGACAACACTAGAGAATCCATGATTTATTAGGCTATCGATTTAATTTTTATCAAGCTATCACATTTATTTTCCGATCCACTGGTTACAACTGAAAGGCGAACTCAGAAATAACTTGTCTTCATCAGGCAGGCAATAATTGTAATTTATAAATTTCTAATTCTATTCTTTATAAAAAAAAAATTTAATTAAAAAAATAACACTTGCATTCTATCTATTTGTTTTCTTTTTATTTATTATACAATTATAATTCTGACTTTTTCTGACTAACAAAAGCAAAAAAGGCCTCTAACACTAGCTTGCTCTATTATTTTTCTATTCTATCTGTTTTCTTTTTATCTATTATATGATTTAAAAAAAAACTTGCTACGTGTACTGCATTAGGCTAACTGAGACTTGTTATAGCACTTGCATATCATTGCTCTTTTGTTGATTTTGATTGCTTTCATTGTCCTCATTTGTAAGTCGCTTTGAATAAAAGCGTCTGCTAAATGTAAATGTAATTTACAGTAATAATAAATAAATAAATGAAAGCATGGAGCAGCGGCCAAATCTGTCAGCAGGACACTGGGAATTTTCTTTACTGACTGCCATTTACATTCGGGTCCAGTTGGGTTCGAAAATACATGCCGTCGGGTCAGGGTCAGGTTTTTCCTTTGAAATAATTAATTTATGCACGTCACGTGCAGGTAAGAAGTGATTTGGGTCGGGTACAGATTTTAGGACCAGAAAAGACCTCTTACTCTGTATATGCCTTTATGAGTGTAATTAACTCTCCATCCCAGCAGGTGGCAGTAGTCTGTCATTCAACAAGGGGAACCAGAATAGCTAGGACTGCTGATAAACAATGAGAAGAGCCTTCTATGTTTGCCCTCTTGAGTTTGTTGTTTGCTTGTTTCCTTCACTTCTGTACTGCTTCGCTACGCTGAACATCAGCTTGGTGTGTCATGGTCTTACCAAAACAGAAACCAACCGACTGGCAATATATATCTTGTTGCTCATCACTTGTCACTTGGAAGTTATTATTTGGACTTTTTGACCCTACCTAGCTTTGAGGTAGTAGAGCAGATGATAACCGATTTTCGGCTGTTTCTGGTAAAGCTCGGCGAGCAGATCTAGCAGGACAGAGAAGCCGCTGTTGTCCTCCTGCATCTGACACAAGTTCCTGAAGATCAGACACACCGGCTTACACACGGACTCCTCCAGTGACCTGCACACACACACACAGCATCCCATTAGCCTCTCCATTAAGAAAAATGAACAGTAGTGACAGGAAAATATGGAGGGCAATCAGGACACAATGCAGGCTGGAACCAAAGACACATATCTAGAGCTAACCACTAAATAATGTGCAAAAAGACCCGACAGGAAGTTGAGAAAGAGAGGGAAACCTACTCTTCTGTGATCTCCTCAGGCAACACATCTCCTCTGAAGTGACTCTTAAAGAGTTCAGCCAGACAGGAAGCTAGAGTGGACATCTGCTCAGAGTCGAAATCCTCCTGAAATAGGACAAATAAAAAAAAAGTGTGTGTATCATTAGTCGTATTTAAAGCTCAGATCGAAATGTTCACCCTGAACAAAGCTCACCTCTAAAATAAGATCCACAATTTCCTGCATGACCTCACAATGCGTTTCTGTGTCACTGAGAGAGAAAGAACCGCACAAATTGAGAATCATGCAATTGAGATCTTATTATAACTGTAATACATGTTATTATAATATATGTGTCTCACCTTCCTTTCTGCAGCTGCAGAACCCTCTCTTTAAGTGCCTCGTCCAATTGGTCGACATAAGGTGTGATGTCAGCAGGCTCGTCGATGTAGGTTTCCTTTAGCTGATGGAACCTGAACTCTCGTTTTTTACCTTGGGAAAACAAGAGTTCATATATCATGACAGCACTGATATTAACTGAAAATACAAAAGTGGGTCATGGGCGGCATTCTGAGCCAGAGCCACTGATCTAGATTCGGTCATGGTTGAATACTAAAGCAGAGAACATGCGCTCCATCCCAACTGAAATAGCCCCGTGAAGCCAAGCCTCTTATTCCTAATTGGTTGATCTGAAGGCCTGAGCTAAAGTGTATCTGCCATTACCGCAAGCATCTTACCCTTGTTGTTCAATTCTTCCTCATCATCACTGAAGGTAGCATCTGTGTTGTCATAGCAACCATCCTCCTTATCAAGCACATGATTGTCCATCTCCAAGGGAACCGATTCCTCCATTTTTACTACAAAAAGATTAAAACATGCAATAACTCAAGCAGAATTTCATTCCACTGACTTTTAAGATTGTGGTTTGCAATGTTATAATCCTTGCTGGATCTTAATTGTAATATTTCTATTACAAACTACACAGGCTTCCTTCTTAATTTTAATGTAAGAACCAGAATTCCTTCAGTCTAAAAAAAAAAAAAAAACCAACAACAAAAAAACAAACAGGATATATGGAATTATAAAAGTGTGATTTCTCAACCTGGAAAAGTTATGGAAATTAATAAAATATTATTGTCAATGACATTTTTATAATGAATATAAATATTACTAGTCATGTCAAGCGCTAAAATAATTTATCGCCAAAAAAATTGCAGTTAGAGTATTAAAATAAATAAATAAAATTAAATCAATCCCTGTAATCACAAATGACTAGATAAGTTGTAAATTCATTGGTAATATAAAAGTGTACACCCCAAAAGATCAACTTCTGGAATTACAGAAATTCATTACTTGAATTATTTTAATTAATTAAATATTAATAGACATACATAACAAATAATATTTCATGATTTAAAAAAATATATTTTTTATTTTAATTGAATTTGTTTAATTTAGTTTAATTTTCTCTAACTAAAACAGTTTGAAACTGAGCAGTTTTGTCATTACAGCAAAGTACCAGAAATACCTCGGAGGGCCTTCAAATAAAGACCTTGACAGAGTCAGAAATGTTGAGGACCACTGCACACAATCATATTTCTACTCAAGTATTTACTTCACTGATGAGATGGGGAAATTAGATAACATTAGTAAGACTCAAAACAAAAGACTCTCTGTTACTGAGCAGTATATGCATTTGCATGCATGGTAAATTAATTTTAAAATGAATTTGATCACCCTTTATATAGAGGTGACAACAACTTTTTTTTTTTTTTTAAAGTGTGGCTTGATGTTTTGACATCACATTCATTGTCATTTATCCAGAACCACTCAAAAAAATCCCTCTTCCCAGCAAAAGAGGTTTATCAAGATTTATGCAAGTTTAGTGCATCCCAAATCATAGTACGCTGAAAAAAAAAAAAAAAAAGAATGCCTGTTTTGTATAATATTTCTGGTGGACTAAATTGGTTTGGAGCTTTTGTTTTTGACATGACTGGCAATGAATCAGTGATGAGGAGCTCTGACCTTCAGTGGGCGGTGAGGGGGAATTGCAGAACTCTGGGAAGCGTTCTCTAAGCATAGACCGCAGCTCACGGTCCAGTTTAGGGTTGTCAAACAGAGGTGCTAGGTTACTGAAAGAGCAAGAGACATAGTCAGGATCATTATACAGAAAGCATCCCTAAACCAGCAGAGACACAGTGGTGGAATTCTTGATGAAGTGCCTGTTATGAGCACATGTTAATGAGTGTGTGTGTGTGTGTGTTAAACTCACGCCAGAACTCTCTTCTCCATGATGAAGTTGAGAGAGTTGAACACGCCCTGCCGCACTTGACCCTCAAGAGGAGGGAAGAAGTTTGGGATGATCTGAAGTGGAATAAAATACAGGTTAACCCAAGATTTAAAAGACTGACATTCACAACACACAGAATGTCCTGTGATATTATTGCTTATTATCATTTTCCTCACACACTGTTTTAGTTGCATCAGCAAAAACATTTTTTTTTTTTTATTAACACTTTACAATAAGCTTCCATTTGTTAACTACATTAGTGAACATGAGCTAACAAATGAAAAATACTTCTAAAGCATTTATTAATTTTAGTTGATGTTAATTTCAACATTTACTAATACATTATTCAAATCTAAATCTGTTAATATCATTAAGATAATAAGAACTGATATAATAATTATATAATAATAAGAACTGAGAAAGAGTTTCTCACCCGACACATAAAGTCCAGTAGTGTGGCTGTTATAGCAGGATGTGGCTTCATGGAGTGATGCATCACCAAAATGGCTGGCTCTGAGAAAACAAGAGTCAGAGAGACAGAGAGAGCGAGACAGAAAGAGAGAGAGAGAGAGTGGAATTCTTGATGAAGTGCCTGTTATGAGCACATATTAATGAGTGTGTGTGTGTGTGTGTGTTAAACTCACGCCAGAACTCTCTTCTCCATGATGAAGTTGAGAGAGTTGAACACGCCCTGCCGCACTTGACCCTCAAGAGGAGGGAAGAAGTTTGGGATGATCTGAAGTGGAATAAAATACAGGTTAACCCAAGATTTAAAAGACTGACATTCACAACACACAGAATGTCCTGTGATATTATTGCTTATTATCATTTTCCTCACACACTGTTTTAGTTGCATCAGCAAAAACATTTTTTTTTTTTTTGTAACACTTTACAATAAGCTTCCATTTGTTAACTACATTAGTGAACATGAGCTAACAAATGAAAAATACTTCTAAAGCATTTATTAATTTTAGTTGATGTTAATTTCAACATTTACTAATACATTATTCAAATCTAAATCTGTTAATATCATTAAGATAATAAGAACTGATATAATAATTATATAATAATAAGAACTGAGAAAGAGTTTCTCACCCGACACATAAAGTCCAGTAGTGTGGCTGTTATAGCAGGATGTGGCTTCATGGAGTGATGCATCACCAAAATGGCTGGCTCTGAGAAAACAAGAGTCAGAGAGACAGAGAGAGCGAGACAGAAAGAGAGAGAGAGAGAGACAGATATCAAAGGAAAATAAAAGCAGAGCATCAGTGACTGGGTTAAGGCAAAGCATGTGGTTCGTACATGTCTGTTTAAGAAGTCAAACCTAAATGACTCAATAACGGCTTCCTGCCTTTCTTACCGATGTTCATGATGCTGTCTTTCTCTGGGTTGAAGAACAGCCAGTCATAGAACAAGGCCAGTTTGGCATTAGATGCAGCAACATTAGACTGCAGAGAGAGACGGAGTTAAACCTTTAGCGTTGATATGGAATCCAAAATGACATTCAGAAAAATCGGAATGTTTTTAGAACTTGCTTACCGTGCAGGTAGTCAGGAGCCATCCAATGATCGCCCAGCGCGGCAGAATGTCAGAACTCAGCACTTCATTGGACGGATGAACCACACCGCATATGTAACGAATGAGGTCACAGCGCAGCGATTGGCTTTCAGCTGTGGACAGATACTGCCGCTGAAACCAGTCCTGATAGCGCTTCTGCTGGCCGAACCGAACCTGCAGCCAGGAAGAGCAAGAGTGTTTGACTTTCAAGTCATGAACGTATTGAGGTGTCAGTGTTTGTGAGTATTTACCCGTGAGGTCATGAACAGCAGCTTGGTCTCCATGTCAGGCGTGAGTCGACAGGCCAGAAACTTGCGTGAGGTTCTAGAGGTGAGGAGCTGCAATATACCTGCAGCAGGAAGGGACAAGACACACCAGTTTAATATCACACACACAGATTTTACTGTGCATACTATTTATGTCCAAAACTGATGCATTACTGTAGAAATTCCCTCCCACACACCTGTGAACTGTGGGCTAAGGGTCTGAGGATTGTGCAGCAGGTCTCTCCACAGCAAATCCATCTCAGGAATACGAGCCACATTCTGTAAGAGTCTGACCAGATCCCTCCCCATGATAAAACACTCCATGAACTGTTAAAACACAAACACACAGCAAATTAAAAACATGAAACGCCAGTGAATGGCAACAAAAGATGAAACCACAACAACAGCAATAACATCTGTAATGTGTAATGTGCACGTGAAATAAAATACTTTATACATTAGATCATAGCTGGTTCAAGCCCAAGTCACAAGTTAAATCCCAGGTGCTCTCTTGGGAACTGCTGACCCAGATACAGACATCACAATCCTGCTTTAGTGCCCTTGAGCGAGACACTTCACCTCTGCAGGCTCCAGGGGGAGCGCCCTTGAAATTAGTCTATGGCGAGTCACTCTGAATAAAAATAATTTTCATTTCTGGCCTATTTTGCTTTTGATTCAGATAAGAGAATTAAGATATGCTGCACTGAGAAAAAAAATTATGTTTTATACATTAGATCACAGCTGGTTCAAGCCCAAGTCACAAGTTAAATCCCAGGTGCTCTCTTGGGAACTGCTGACCCAGATACAGACATCACAATCCTGCTTTAGTGCCCTTGAGCGAGACACTTCACCTCTGCAGGCTCCAGGGGGAGCGCCCTTGAAATTAGTCTATGGCGAGTCACTCTGAATAAAAATAATTTTCATTTCTGGCCTATTTTGCTTTTGATTCAGATAAGAGAATTAAGATATGCTGTGAAACAGATTCAAAGTTTCGCATCATGGCTCAATGTGTAATGTGGGATAACCACATCTCATCTACACAATCAGTCAAAAATCAAGCTTAATATATTAAATAATTGTACGGAAAATATTGCATGGAAGTTTTTAAGGCTCATACAGTATGATATAGTGAAAATAGGAAGTAATCATAATCGAGGAGGGGGAAAAAAAACACCTCAAGCTATTTGGTGCAATCTTTATAAGACTTACATAAAGAGACTTACATAAAATCACAAATATCAGTTGTCACTCTACATCTCCCAATAATACATCTTAGTAAGGAGATATTTAATGCTTAGTTTTATGATAAAAGCGGTGTAGCTTTTATTGTGGTTGTCAAAACATCAAATGCAATGAAATACAACGACTGAGAGATAACTAAACATTCCTCAAAAGCCTGTTGAATCAAATTTGATTTTTGAGTCGAGTATGTGTTCATCTAACAAAATAAAAGTTATCCTTATATTTACTTCACAAAAACTAGTAAAGATTTCACAGCAGAAAGACATGTGAACCACGACCTGAAAGGGGCCATTTTTACCTTAAAAAAAAAAAAAAACCTTTTAATTTCCTAAAAAAGAATGAACTATCAATCAGACGGCATGTAGTAGATTGTGTACAACAGGTTTTTCAGTAAAGTTTTGAAGATTTTTGAGTCGAGTATGTGTTCATCTAACAAAATAAAAGTTATCCTTATATTTACTTCACAAAAACTAGTAAAGATTTCACAGCAGAAAGACATGTGAACCACGACCTGAAAGGGGCCATTTTTACCTTAAAAAAAAAAAAGGCCTTTTAATTTCCTAAAAAAGAATGAACTATCAATCAGACGGCATGTAGTAGATTGTGTACAACAGGTTTTTCAGTAAAGTTTTGAATTTAGAGGCCTTAGAAATTTGCTTATCAAATACAACCAAGTAGGTTTATAGGGTTGAATGATTAACAGAGACAAACAAAACGTCCTCAAAAATACTTTAGCCGTGTACTTCATGTAACTCTTAAAAGATCTGAAGTCTTTCCAGTACTCACCCTCTCTCGGAGCAAACCGATGCAGAAGTCCACCTCTCTCTGTCTGAGGAGCAATAGGTTTGGCGTCCCATGGTCCACTATGAGCCTCAGGTACGTGTACACAGACATGGCCACTAACATCCCACTTTTCAGCACCCACTCCCTGTCCATCATATAAACACATTCATGCAACTGACAATAAACTCGTGCTGGTCTATTAGCATGGACGTAGTTACCGCTCACAGTGCAACAATCACGCTGCATGCTGTTTGACGCAACTTCTCACCTCTGTTCCACTAACATCTCCAACACGCTCTCTGCCAACCACAGGTTTTTGTTGGATATGTCTCCCCCTGCAGATTGACACAAGTTAGACACGGGATGTAGGGATATGCTGTAAATAACATAGCATGATTTGCATTAGTGCTTGAACGTACCAGCGATCTGTTTCATGAGCGTCATGAGAACTCCATCTGCTCCAATGACTCCGCTCTTCACCAGCTCTCTGACCAACCACACCAGCTGCCCACACAGAAGATGAGACCTCATCAGTGCTTTTATTGTCAACTAAAACTAAAACTAGTAAAAATTGTCAATGTCAACTGAAATAAAAAAACAAAACAAAATATAAATATCAGACGAGAAACTTAAACTTAGAAAACTTGCATGAAAATGTGAAATGCTGCTTTGGAAACTAAATTATATATAATTAAGTTTAAAATGAAAATAAAATAAAGGTACATTTTTACAAATTATTTAAAGGGGCCATATGATGCGATTTCAAGTTTTCCTTTCTCTTTGGAGTGTTACAAGCTGATTGTGCATAGATAAGATCCCTGAAGTTGACTAAAGTCTCAAAACCAAAGAGATATTCTTTATCAAAGTTAAGACTCTGCCACACGCCCCCCTAAAACAGCTCGTTCTAACACGCCCCCACATGTCTACCTCACTATGTGGAAATATTTGCATAATGCGCCCAAATGTGCACGCAAAGAAAGGCGGCGTGGTTTCAGTAACCGCAGTTAGTGTTGAAGCAGCAATGTCAGGGAGACGCTGTGTTTCAGTGCAAAACCAAAAGCACTTTATTTGGCCTTCCGAAAGTAGATGCATTTAGGAATCTTTAAGATGACTTACAACAGAACTGCAATGCATTTTATGGACGACCGTTTCGTGAACCTAGGAGAAGAGGTAATTCTGACTTTGCTATGACAATCTG